TTAACTGAGTCATACTCATCATCCTTAAAGAAAAAGCTATCTTCCTATGTAGTTTGGTTCTATACTCATAAACAGAACATTTGTTATTAAGTTTGGTCTCAGTGGTTTTGAATTTACCATTTGTAATGATAAAGGTAGATTATTATTTACAGTAATAAAGTATTTCTGGAATCTGTATGTTTGGAGTATCTGGAACGCTTCAATGTTCATTTTAAAAATATGCCAAATATATTATTGTTTTTGTTTGTTGAACTTTTAAATTTCATTTTCTTTTGACATCTGTGGTAGAAATCTGCCCCTGTATCCTTTCTCTAGCTTTGCTCATAATCCTAAAATATTTTGCCACATTCAATATCTAAGCTGTCATACCACACTTTACCTATTGCTTCCAATGTTTCTAGCTTCTCACTTTCTTATCAAAAGGCAGCATTGATTTCAGCTTCCTTGCTCTGAAAAAAAAAATCAACACACACTAAGATGGAATCAAGTTAGCACATATTATTTGGCCTCCAGAGTTGTGCCTTGGTCTCACAACTCCAATCTAGCATGCACGTACCACTACCTCATGGCAACACCAAGACCTAGTACAGCAGTCAGTCAAAATGTGGATCTCTCTCTTTGACTGCTCCCCTCTACACCTGCACCTTCAACAGATGAGCTGAACTCTTCTTTTTATTGGCAACCACTTTCCCATGAAAGACTTTTAAAGCTAATGGTCTGGAAGTACTATGTGGTAGCCTGCTGCACTGTTTATATTCTTTTGCTTACCATTTTCTCTCAACAACCTGTACTTTAGCTACTTTGCCCATTTCTTCTATTTGCACAAAGTATCATTTTTCAAAAGCCGTTCTTGATCAAGTAAATATTACCAAGTAAATATTATACTTCTCTGGCAATGATCCTGCTTGAACTGCCCTCATGCCTGACACTCCTAAACCCATCTTCCTGAGCATCAATCACTGATTTTTGTAGTCTTACTATCCCGATGCTGATGTATTGGGGATTTGGTTTTGGTTTGGTTTTTGTGGGATTTTTTTCATTATGTTTTTTCACTTGGCTTAATCTCTGACAGCCACTATCTTTGTGAGACACACCTTGGATCTCTGGCTTTCTTTATAAATGCTCATGGAATCTCAGGTACATGCATGTTGATTACACCTGCTTCCTTGATACTGGCATTCACGTTTTATCTCCAGGGTAGAAATCCTAAACCTATGTCTCTGGCTTCCACTCACAGTCCAAGCCCATCCATGACCACAGCTCATCACCTTTCAGGTCATCTAGATCAGCCTAACCAGCAAAGCCACCAATCTTGAAATCATCTTATTTTCTTGCCTCTGATTTCTGTCCTGTTCTGCAGTTATAATTACAAAGTCCCAAATAGTCTCACTTATTGTTACATTAAAATTTCAACTTCTCAGTGTACTTCTATGCTTTAGTTCATAAATTCATGAAGTCTTACATGGACTATCCCAATAATCTCATAATTAACTCTTTATCTTCTCTCACCTATCTATTCAGTATTTTCTCCATATTATTTTTGAAAGTAGAATTTTTGAAAAATCTGATGATGTTATAAATCCTTGTAATTTACCTACTTAAATTATGCCATTTTATTAAACAACTGGCTTATTCAAATAGAAAAAAATGTTTGGAAGATGAGGTAGAAAAATAATTTATATAAAACTTAATATAATTTGTCAAAATTTCATTCAGTACCTGAAAGAATTATATGTCATTTTTAAGGAAGAAAAGGTTTATTTACTTCACAGTTTGTGGGGGTTCATGTCATACTCAGCTGGCTCAAAGACAGGTTGGTACATGGCAAAGGGCAGCAATTGTTGGCATCAGAAAACAGCAAAACTGAAAGAGCAAAAAGGGAGGAACAGAGGTAGACAGGAATGACATGTCACTTTTAAAAATTTCTAAAGTAAGAGTATTTAAAATTTTACTTATATTCAAATGTTAAAAAAACTTTATGCACCAATAACACAATCAACATTAACAACTTTAGAAATAAATGAACAATGGTAATGAGCCATAGTCATAGAATAAATGCAAATGAATAATACATAACCCATATAAAATTCTGCTTCACTCATGAAAATTCAAACTTAATAAGAAGTAATATGAAGCTGGGGAGATAGCTCAGTAAAATAAGCACTTTCCTGGCAAGCACAAGGGCCTGAGTTCAATCCCTGGTTCTGCAAAAAAAAAAAAATAATAATACATCTTTAATAAAGCTTACACATGAAAAAGTGATGGAGAATAGTGGGGTTGACATGAATATTTTTGTACTATGGTAGATAGATGTACCTTTAGTTTCCACTTAAACTTACTTTTAGGGTTCATCTCATCTCTTTGTGAATATGTCATTTCCACCTTCCTGTTTCTGAGTTGCTGGCACACACCAGTTGTAAGGGGGAACTACCCAGGAGATTGGCTGAGACTTCATATCTCTGTTGTGAGAAATTTGAACTAAAATATACTACCATGAGGTGGTAGATTCATATTATGAATGTAAGTGTATGTGGTCGATTAGCATTTGTTTTTGTTTATGTATCAGCACAAACAAGAAGTGATTAATAAAGAATATCAATGAAAATGAGGCATGACAGTTTTTCACTTATATAAGAGATAAATCAAATAGGTTAAACACAAAAAGTTTCAGGTATAGAACTCTTTTCTCAAGTACCTTTGCTTTGCTTCTTAATGTTGTTTTGCATAACTTTAACACCCGAATGTCTGGAAATAGATCTGATATTTTTACCTGTGACTTGTGTCTTTGCCTTTGAAGCCATACAATTCCCATGACAATATAAGGTGAGATGACCTTTATTAGTACAATTTGGTGCAATTTAATAAGCAATTAAAAATACTTTAAAATTTTTAATCAATAATTTTATTTCTAGGATTCTTATTCATTCATTACTTTAATGAACAAATAATAATTGTACATACTTAAGGAGTTACATGTGATGCTTGATTTAGGTATACCTTATAGAAAGATTACATCAAGCTGATTAAATTATCGCTTCACAAATTTATCATTTTCATGTGGTTTTAATTTTTAAATTTCTGTTAATTTTGGAATATAAAATATGATAATATTGATTGATAACTCTCTGTTTCTGAGATTGATATTTTTAAGTTTTACATATAAGAGACAGCATATTTGTCTTTATATGCTAGACTTATGTCACCAGATATAGCATGTTTTACTTGTATCCATGTTGAAAATAAATCTTTATTAAGAATAAATATGGCTCAATTTTTATACACACTACATTTTCTTTGTTCATTCACTGATGGACACTTAGGTTACTTTCATATCTTGACTGTTACAAATAAGGCCAAAATGAACAAGATAGGGTAGATATCTCTTTGGCATGCTGATTTTAATTCCTTTAAATACACACACACACACACACACACACACACACACACACAATGATTGCTGAATCATATAATACATACATATTTAGTATTTTTTGAGGAACTTTCCTACTATTTTCCAAAATGCCTGCATTAATTTACATTCTTACCAATAGTATACAAGCATGCCATTTTCTCTGCATCCTTACCAGCCTCTCCATGATTCCCACTTGCTTTCATTTGTCTTTTTGATATTAGCCATTATAACAGGTGTGAAGTGATATCTAATTATAGTTTTAATTTGCATTTCCCTGATAATTTGAGATGTTAAGCATTTTTAATATATTTGTTGGCCGTTAACATATTCCCTTAAAAATGTCTAATCACATATTTTGAGCATTATTTATTTTGCTGATGAGTTGTATGAGATCCATATATATTTTTGGATATTATACTCTCATCAGATGTATGACTTACAAATACCTTTCCTCATTTTGAAGATTGGCCCTCCACTCTATTGCCTCCTTTGTTGTTCAAATGATTTTTAATTTGAGACAGTTTCATTATTCTATCACATTTTTTTGTCTGCACTTTCAGACTTTTATACAGATCTTTTCCCACACCAATTGTCTTAATTAATTTTCTTGTTACTGAGCCATCATACCCAACACCCACAAGCTAAGGAAAGAAAGGCTTAATTAGCTCACGTTTGTAGAGATTTCAGTCCATGATCAGCTGGCTCCGAGGCTCAGCAGACAAGCACTGCAAAGGTGAAACAGTTCATGGTGGACAGAAGCCCTTCTGGCCCCACAAAGTTTGCATTCTGTGTGTGCCTAAAACCAGCACCATGTGTATAAGGTCAACACACGCTGTCAGCAGGGGTACCAGGTTCCTTCTTTGTAGGCTGTAGGCATTGAGTGCCTATAAACCAAATTCCAAGGAAAGCCTTTCCTAGACCACCACATGTTAGAACATGGTGTTCTGGGGCTTTCTTCTCTAAGCAAAGTCTCTCACTTTTGCAATTTTAAGGCTGCAAAGGGGAAAATCATGCTGCTTCCTGACACACCCTGTGCCTATTCTGTTCCTTCTCAGAAATCAAGATCTCCTGTGCTCTATCTAGCTTTGCAATCCACAGCTTTACTGTAGTTTCTTTTCTGGCCAAACTCACAACATTTCAAGTCATTCTGCTTGGTTTTTGTTCTTGAATCTAAACATAAATCTGGCATAGTGCCTACAACAATAGCCATGCCACTGCTCAACACTGGACTGTCTTGAAATATTTTTTTGCAAAATTAATTATTCTGATAACCTTAATTTCAGGCTCAGCCGAAGTCTCTAGGCATAAGCAAAATGCAGACAAACTTTCTGCCTAGATGTAATACACTGACTAGAGTCCTATATCCAGTACAACCATTTTTCCCATCAAAAACCTCCCAAGCCTAGTCTTTACTGGTATCATTTCTATCATCCTTCTGGTCTTAGGAGCTCTGATAATAATCTCCCATTAAGGAAAAATTCCAGATCCAGATTTTTCAGCTGACTGCTCTAAACCTTTGCAAACTTTTTCCACAAGTCAGTCTCAAAGGCTTCTGAAATGCATGATCAGGTATAATCATAGGAAGAACCCCAGTCTTGGCACCAAATTCTGCCTTAGCTACTTTTCAGGTTGCTGAGACAGAATTCCAAGTGCCCACAAGTTCAGGGAAGAAAGGTTTATTTATCTCACAGTTTGTGGAGGCTTCAAACTATAATTGGCATACTCCAAGGTAGAATACCATAGCAGACAGAAACTGCAGAAGAGAAAAAGGTCATTGCAGACAGAAGACAACAAAGAAACAAGAGATGATTACAGCTCTTTTTATCTCTCATATCTTACCCAGGCTACATAAGGCAGGTGGCACTAATGCCCTTGATCCTACTGGTGCACCATGAATCAATTCCAGCATCACATAACTTGGATCCAGTCACCTCTGAAAAAGCCTCACTTATAAGTGCATGAGGATTTGTGGGAACATCTAGGCATAAGCCATAACACCAATGCTGTACAGTTTTTCTTTATTTTTTAAATTGTTTTATAGTTACATGTCTAAGACTTTCACCTATTTTATTTTTTGTGTATGAGTTGAAATAAGTATCCAATCTTATCTTATGTGAATATCAGTATACTTGACCCCATATATGGAAGAGATTGACCTTTCCCTATTGTGTGTTCTTGGTACCTTTTTTGAAAATTAATTGGCCATAAGTACTTAGATAGATTTCTAGGCTTTTTGTTTTGTTCTTTTGGGTGACATGCATTTGCTTACGGTAGCAGAATGCTTTTTATTATTGTAATAGGGGCTGAGGAGATATCTCAGTGGCATAAGCACCTGCCTACCAAGTGTAAAGTTCTGACTTTTATCCCTGATTCCAAATTGCCTAATGTACCCAAGACAGTTTATGGAGGAAATTCTAGGATCCAGGAGTAGAGCATAAGTGCTTACCTGGCATGCACAAGGTCCCAAGTTCACTCTCCAGTACCTCAAAAGAAAATGCCATTTTTGTAATAGGTTTGTAAGGCCTTTTAAAATTAGTGAGCATGTTTCATTTTTAGTATATGCATGAAGATATCAAAGAAGTATAGTTTTAAATGTAGAAATGGACACAAACTATATGTCTAAAAATGGGAATGGTATAGTGAATTATGATATATCATGTAAGTTAAGGCCTGAAACCTTAAGATAAATTAAGGTAAATATAACATCAGAACAAACTAATTTGAAATGAAGCTTTTAGTCATTTATTTATTTACTTATATTACTTCAAGGGAGTTTAAGCATCCTTTATTTGAAATAATATAAAGCTCATTCATGAAAACTTGTTTTAATAAAGTACTTTGCTTGAAAATAGGCTTAAATTTGCAGCATAAGAAAAGATTAATAACTATAATTAATTACTCATTTGGCATTTAATATTTCCCTTGATTTTTCATAAGGTATATATGCTTACTATTTATTTGAATTAAAACTTAATGACTAAAACTTCTATAACATTAGTTTTTATCACTTTTTACTTTTTTTTTTTTTGAGAGCGCTTATCCTACTGAGCCATGTCCCCGGCCCCTCTTTTTACTTTTGTTAGTGCATGCTTACTGTATACAATGATTGCATTCACTGTAGGAAATTGGCACATTACACAACACATTTCAATCCTTTTTTATCCCCCTTCCCTTCACCTCTTTCATTTATCAAGCATCAGATTTATTGATAAAACCTTATAAAGTTAATTATCATATATACAGATTGACAAATCAGTGTAGTAGACTAAATAACATATAAAGCATATAAAAAATTTATACCAAATCAAGGCGCACTTTTAGATATATTATCTGCACAGGATAACAGCACTTGTTTTGTCTTTTTCAGAGTGTTACCATTCATGGATTGCATTATGCACAGGAAAGGCAGTATACAATTAAACCTGAAAGTGATGCAAATAAGAAAAAGTTATGAAAGCTTTTGGTAAATTGTTTTAATTTTAATTTTCAATAGTTATAGGTTTGTGAAGGATTTTAAAGGGTTATTGTAGCTTCACATGATTTTTTCATCCTAATTCTTGTTACTAATGTTAACATTATTTCTTCTCTATGTTTATAGGTTAACCCAATTGTTTGTGCAGGGGATAATCGTAAGTTTTGAAATTAGGTTAGTGGCATCTTGTTGAGTTTGAATGCTTTCTTAATTGGTGGCTGATTTAGATCATTTGGTAATTTAGGTTATTTACCCTCTATAAAAGATGTATCTTTTTTTAAGGAGCTGTCCCTCCATAAATTAACATATAAATTTTCATTAAAATAAATATTTTTTAGGAAAACTTAAAGTTGAAATAAGACTCTTGTTTGAACAACCACCTATCTCCAAACTCGGCTGCTTTTTCACCTCTACTTCTAAATCTTCTCATTATTTTGTCACATAGATGAGTTAGCTCATATTAGCTGTTCAGAAGTAGCTCATTTGACTTTGGGAAGGTTGATTGAAGGTTCTCTTTGTCAAAAGTTTCTAGTTAACCCATTATGCAAAAGGTAGTGTGGGTAATCTAAGCCATATTTTACATTTTATTATTTTTTCATCTTTCCCTTCTGATACTGTCTCTATAGCACTTGAAAACATTTCTGTCTTCTATATCTTTAAAATATAAATGTTTTGTTTTATGAAGTTTTTATATTTGTATCTATAAGTTTTAGGCTAGATTTAGTTCAAAGTGGTCAGTATGTCTGAAATCTTTCGGGTGTAAGCCAGTTGCTTTAAGGTAAGCTACACTTCTTTATCCAAGCACACTTTCCATTATGCTTACCTTGTTATGACTTGCTGCCTCTTATATTGATTTGGAATTTAAGCAAATTTGAGTAAATATTTGAGGAGGATTATGGGAGGTGTGGGCGTGATTCATTGTCTAATTCAATTAAGCTCTCTATTCTTAATTTACTACTTAAATCTCCTTAAATTTTTAGATTTCATAAAGATTACTGTTGGCGATTTTCTTAGAAAATGTAGCCCGTTTCTTTCCTCCACTCCATTGGCTACATCTTGACCTATCATTTTTATGAGCATATTTATGCTTACTTTCACTCTCTGTCGGGGTTTGCTGAAGATAGCGGTATATAGACTGAATTAGTGAGAAGTGGTGAGGTTTATTGATTACACAACAGGCTCCTCTAGGCTGATATCAACACCGCCAAGCACTTTGAGTTTTAAGATTTTGCTACTAGTTCTCCAGTGAAATTTTTTTGTTGTAAATTATCTGTGTTCATGGCTAAGCATAGTGGGGCATCTTAATTCCAGGTCGCGTCTTATCTTTCGCGTGTTCAAATGCATTAAGGTTACTTTCATTTATGGTTTTATGTATTATCTGCTGATTTTTATGACTTAAATAAAATTTAATCTTATTTTAAAGTTATTTTAAACAGCTTTATGCTGGGGTTTATTACTTTGGTTTAATCATATGACCGCAGTGGCTGGTACGAAACTTACCAGCACTAAATTTGTTACATAAGTTAGTCGCGCTTGTTTATCGCTTAATTTTGATTACTCCTGTGTCCCGTGGGGGTGTGATTAAGCAAGGCATCATGAGATACTGAAATTGTGGTTGATGCCGCTCCTTTCAATCTTCTTGATTTAGAGGGTGTTCTCACTGGTAAGATGATTCTTGCATCTATAATTTTGCTAACAACTAATAAAAAAGCCAAGACCAAATCTTTGTGTTTATGGAGTAGTAATACTCATCTAGGCATTTTCAGTACCTTGCTTTATGATAAATTACATTCAATTTGGAGAAAGAATGTAGCTCATAGAATGGGAAGTGCATTTTGTTGGGAGTTTAGGTTCAATGTCTATTTGAAAAAGGGAGAGTATATTGTACTCACATGGGGTAAGAATTTGTAATTTACACCCTATAAAAGAATATAAGATTGGGAACAATAAATTATAAATTTTTATACTATTTCTTGTTTGGGGGGGGGTTGGCAAGATGAGGTATACGGTGCATGGGTTTATATATCTGGGTATAAAATATATAATTTTAATGGGGGTAAGGGGTGTTTGTTAAAAGATACTTATTGGTAATTTCATCCATGCATGTGTGTACGTGTATATGTGTAAATTCAGGTCATGTTCTTCTAGCATTAAAAAAATCACCACAGAAATAATATGTGAAGCAAGAGTATTCATTCATAACTACAGCTACAACTAAATTGACTGAGATCATGCCTTAATGGCAACAGAGAGTCACAGCATCTCCAAAATTAAAAAGACAGCAAATGCATGAAGCCATAGTTACGTGTGACCACAGGCTGATTACTTATCAGTGCATCAAGATGTCTTATTTAAGAGGAACGAATGAGCCAGCTTAATTCTATGGCCCTGAAGAAAGAACCAGATGCCTGTTAAAGTTTGAAGTCTAGGAAAACCCACAGGTGCTGGGCCCAGAGCAAGAGGGACACCCATCTAGCAGGTAGATAATTTCACGGAAGATGGTAAATAAAGCAACCCCTATTAGATGGTGTTAAACATACTGACAAGGATTATTTTTTATTTAATGTGCTAATATCTAATAATAGAATGTATGCCTTATGTAAACTCAATCATGAATACATAATCTGGAGTTTTGGGAGTACAATATTCATATTGTCTTGAATTTAATTTGGAATTAAATTGAAATGTGTTATCTCTGCTTTTTCTGTGACAATTTTTTTTCATCCTTTGCTTCTTAATCTATGGATTTCTTTGTGGGTTAAATTTGTTTCTTAAATGCACAATATTGTTGAATGTTGCTTCTTGATCCATTCTCCTAGTCTGTTTCTTTTGATTGGTGAACTGAGACCATTTTCTTTTTGGGGTTTTGTTTTTTTCTATTGTTTGTTCTCTGTATTCATCGTCTGTGTGATTGCTTACCCTGCCTAGTGGCTTCTTTCTTTTGGTGTTTATGTGTTTGTGGTCTTTATATCTCTTTCTAATATGTCCTTCTTATCATTCTATAAAGCTGGTTTGGTGGTCATAAATTTTTACAGCTGTTCTTTGTTATGGAAGTATCTTATTTCTCCATCAATTTTGAAAGATAGTTTTATAGAGCACAACATCTGGGTTAAAGATTGCTTTCTTTTATGACTTTAGATACCTCACTCCAGTGTTCCTTGATTTGAGGATTTGTGTTAAGAAGTCTGTTATGATTCTGATAGGCTTTCCTTTATAGATGACTTATTTCTTTTTTGAGTTACTTTTAATATTTTGTTATCATCCTGATCTCCTGGAATCTTGATTATTATGTGCCGTGGTGTGGATATTTTTTTTTTTTTGGTTGTGGCTATTTGGAGTTCTGTATGCTTCATTTATTTTTGTATCAAATTATATATCCATATTTGGAAAGTTTTCTGCCATTATGTCTGCAGAGGGGTTTTAATGGTTTTTGTGCTGTCTCCAGCTTTCTTGCTATTTCCAGTCAATTCTGTATTGTTCTTCTTTGCTTCATCCTCAAGCTGTTGGATTGATTTTTCATAGTCTCTTAAAATTTTTAAGATATCTTTATTTTCCTAATCCTTCATCATATTCCTGACTTCTTTATATGAAACTATATTCCTGCCTCCTTCAATCTGATGCTTATAGTTTCAGTGGAGTTTCTAATCTCCTACATTTCTGTTGCATCTAATTCATTGATCCCATTTCTTGTCTATGTTTGGTAATCATGGTTTCCATAATGTTTCTGAGTTCCTCTGTTTGTTATCTGTGTCTGCTTTGAAGTCTTCTATTTTGATAATTATTTCTTTTTACACCTTAAACATTTCTCTATGGCCTGTCCCATTGTTTTTCACTTCCACTGCTATCATTTCAGAAATTTCCATTTGTTGGCTTCCAGTTTCTACTTGTTTTTTGTACTCCAGATTTGTCCTGGGTGGGCTGGATTTTTTTTTATTTTTTATTGAGAAATAAATATGAATGAGACAGTTTCACAGCTACTAATAGGACAGTTTTGATAATCAATATATTGTACATTGTTATCTTCTTAGTGGTCTTCCATAGTACAAGAAGCAGACAGAATATTCTGTCCAATTACTGTTACTACACCTCTTTCTTCTCATTGAATTAAGCAAAAGTAGCTGTAAATTTATCCTAACTATTTTGTGTATATAAATACAAAATGATCTTTCCTTTGTATCTTTTTTCTTGTCCTGTCAGAGATGATTATTCTATCAGCATAAATACTATAGGTGCTTGAATTCAACTAAACATCTAACACTGTATAGCAGTCTATAATATTAGTGGGTTATCCCCAGAAGTTATTGACTTGAGCCTTTTACAGCTCATTGTATTAATATGGTTTTACTTTATAAACCTTGTTTTTATACTTTTCTGCTGGCTGGTTAAGACCAAGATAAAACAAGACCAATATTAGAAGAGATGCAACTTTTGTATCTGATAAGGTCAGCCAAGTACCCTCAGGATTTATCCTGTAGCCCTGTACTACCCTTTGAACATCCTTTTGCCAGTGTCAGACATGAGGATGGGTCACTGCCATTGCTTGACCAATTTGCTCTCTGTGAAAGCCTGAGAAAATGTTTTTTCTCTCCATGTGACTCTTCGCAGGTACACTATACATCATTGAACACATTCCTCTGTGGCTCCATAATTTTCTTGATCAGAAAATTTGGAGCAGAACTGAGTTACATGATGTTACAGTACAGGTTCTCCTATGTTTCGTGTCTTCACTGAACTTGAAAGGCCGGGGCCAAATTGGGCTGGACATTTTGGATTGCATTTTCCTTCTTCATCTTTTCATTTTCTATTTAATTTTGTTTCCTGTGTTGATGCTTGTAGATTTCCTATGTTAGATAGCCTTATCACAGGTATCAAGGCTATCTTAGAAGGTGTCTGTTACTCCAGATGTCCTGTATGTGTAGTTGATTCTTGGCCTTTTTTTCTATCCCAAGAATGTACCTTTCCTATATAGTAAGTCCAAGGAGTTGCTGTCTATTTGACTTAGGGTCCATTACTTTTGTACTGGACTATGGTGATGGTTATGACACTTTACACTTGCAGTGTTGTTATCTAGGTGGAAAAAATGGTTATAGAATGCATGACATACTGGTTAAAGTTAGTTGGCACTCAAGCACTACATGGCTGACAAATTGTGCTAACTATTAGCTTGATATGTATAACCACAGCAGGAAGGTCTACAGAAATATAATCTAATTTATATCAGGAACTTGTATACAATGATTTTCCACTTAGTGGAGTGGTTTTGCCCTGTTGTGGTGTGAGTTCAGGAAGATGGGGGAAGGATGGAGACATAAATGAGGTTAAATATAGTAGGAGCATATTTGGAGGACTCAGAATGATCATCTGGGTTTTAGATAATTGTAGGACACAGAAGGGAAGGATTGGAAGAGAAGGCCTAGGCGTTTTGAAGTGAACCACAAAGGGAAGAGACAATATTTACTTGCATCAAAGTATCATAAAGTCAAGAGAGATAGTGATGAGTTTCAATCTGTATGAAACTCTGCCAAGGTCATCATGGTGATGATCCAACATGGCCTTGGGCCCCCAAATGATAATGTGTCTCTTCAAGACTAATTTCCATATTCTTCTAGTCCCAAAATAAACTTCCCACTTCATTTTTCCACATGCCAACAATCCTACAGTCCTTTCCCAAAACGAAGCTTGGCCTGCCCATGTAAACTCCATCCCTAGTCCAACACAATAAATACCCATTACCCTGCTCTCTGATTCAAGGGTCCATGCAATCTCCAGCACCTCTCCCATGCTGGCAATAAAGGTTTTCTTTTTACCTCTGTCAGTGTCGCTCCACAGCACCAAAAACCTTACAATCGTTGATGAAATAGAGGAAGAGGATGAATAGAATAAAACAAAAAGAAATGTTACAAATGCCTGTTGGCTCAAATTGCTAATGTTGCATGGGATATTTCCATGCTTCTAGTTCTGTGTGTTCATCTTGTGTGCCTTAGCCAGGGTGCTACTGTGTTGCTGGTGTTCCAAAGGGTCTCTGGGCCCTGAGTCCCACCAGTGGAGGGAGGGAAAGAGTGGTAGATCTCAGACTTCTTTCAGCAGCTATGTGGTCCTGGGTTAATCGAGGAAGGGGTGAGCTGAATTCAGACTCTCATCAGTCATACCATTCTGGATTATAAAAGCTTTTTAACAAGGTGAGATCTTATTTGTTGAATCTTTGTAGTATTTCTCTTGCAGCCTGGGTTTTCTTCCTGAAATCTCTGCCTACATCTATTTCTTCAAACTTTCTACCTATTTTATTTTGCAGTAAATTTAGTAAATTTGATCCATTTGAATATTAGTTTAGAGCAGGGTCTAGTTTTGGTCTTCAGCATGTGGAAAGCCAGTTTTTCCATCATCATTTATTAAAGAGACTTTCTTTCTTCCAGTGAAAATGTTTCCTTCCTTTGTCAATTTAGACACAAATTCTTCCTGCATCCCCTAACAAAGCACATTGTTAATGTATCCAGCTTTTTAACCAGTCCTTTGTCATGGAAAGTTTCTGAAACATCAACACCAAGTAGTACAATTAAAAAATTCCACTGTGTTCATGGTCTACATCTGTCTAAGCTCTGGACATTTAGCTTGGACCTGTGAACATAAAGCTTTAGCTAGTGTTGCCAGATTACACAGCCATTTTAAGATTCCTAGCCTACACTATGAATCCTTTTATCTTAGGCAACCTTCTCCTGTTAGTTACTTGCTAATACAGGATGTCCAAGAGAAGAAGGGTTATAGTTTGCTGATTAAAATTGGATGCAGAATTAAATTGCTTCTACACAGCAAAATAGAAGGCAGTAGTGGATGGGTAGAAATGACAACAAGACTGGATTTCCACTGGAATTCTTAGGTTTAGGTTCTATTTTCTTTGCTGAGAGTCATTTTTAGAAAAAATAAAACATATGGAATCCGTCAAAGAAGATCCAGCCCCATGAAAATCTATGTGCAAATTATAGAATATAGGGCCATGAGTAAGATCTCTGAGTCAAACACTGGTAGTCCTATTACAAAGCCAAATGTAGTAATGCGATGACTACTAATGACATTTGTAAGTGTTTAAGCCACTATAATAAGAGTAATCAGATCTCATGCTTCAGGGTGTAATACGATCACTCATGCTTTGCAAAGAAATATTTCGGTGCCCATGTACAGTGCTGCACAACTGGGCAAGCACATTATTGGTAAAATCAGAAGGCAGGAGTGGGAAGCTCACTTTTCTCCAAATCATTAAATGACTTTTTCAGTGGGTAGACTCAAAAAAGCATAACAATTAAGATCAATTCATCTGCATCAGGTAAAGAAAGGTGAGCGATTGCTTGGAAATCTAAGACTTAAAACACTGAAAAAAGAAAGAATTTTACAGCATGCACTTTCTTGGTTTTGAACATGAGGTCATAAATCCAACAGCTATTTATTAATTCACTCAACAGACATGTGTT